ATTTAGAAAGTTTTTACAAGTGTTTATTATACCGACATGATGAACAAAGTTGTACATTACTTTTGCTCAGATTTATTATTTTCATGAATTGACTTTTTATGTTTGCTGACAGAGGATAGAGATATTTTAAAGTTCTTCAAATATATTTGCATATGGCCGAATTTCATATATGTTTTTTCTCCTAGTTACTTATGTTTCATTACAAAGCATATAATTATTTCTTCATATATGTATGTGTGTGTGTGTGTGTGTAAATAACACTTCTTTCTTTCTTTCCTGAGCTAAGAAACAAATAATCAATAGATACAAAGGACAGGTACATAGAAATAAAAGTTACCTTTATCACTTAAAAAAAGAAGCTTTATTGTCAAACATGAGTTATATTTGCCGCTTTAATAAGCTTCCTAATATGCATTTCTGAATGATACAGATTTACTTGCCCTAGCATAGATGACACTGGCCAGCCACACACAACTCAAGTTGGGACAAAGTCTTCCCTGAAAGCTTTCTTCAAGGGGAAGCAAAGGAATTATGTGTCATGTGGATGCTGACATTAATGTGGATTACACACTTCTTTACCTTTTGCAATCTCACCAGTCAAACAAATCTCTTCTCATGGGAACTGTTGCCCCTTATAGAAAAGTGAAGAGTGGAGAATGTCTGTTTCCCAACATCTTTACATTTCCATCTGGAAGTATTTCAAGGCAGTGGGCTTCATGGATTCCTACAGATACATGCATATGTATATATGCAAATACATAAATGTGCACTTTTATACACATCTAGATAGCTAGATAAATACTAAAGAACGCACAAAGAATAATTGCTCATAAAATTTTTTAAAAGATGCAGTTATGCAATCTGCCACTTGAGTTTTTACCAGTTGTGTTCTAGGACGATAAACAATTTTTTAGAGCTTAGTCAATTTGCTTGCTTGTCTTTTGGTGTCTTCTTACTTATAAATGAAGCTACTGGAATTTATTTGTGTGTTTAAGCTCATTGGCTAGGACTTGGTCATGCAGTGCTAATACGGCTGTTCCAGAGGTGGCTTCTGGTTGAATGAAGCGAAATAAGATGATCTGTGCTGTCTTCACCAGGGCCCTCTCTTTCTACATGCACAGAGGACTTCGGAGTTTTACTTTATTGCTGGCATGGTACTTTACTCATATTTGAATGCCTCTGTTCATTCATTCTAATGTCATTTAGGATTATTATTTCATAGCAATTATAATTCTCTGTTTTTCTCAGATTGTTTTTGAATGTGTAAATGCTTCCACTGACTAGAGGTTGGCATTATGTTTTCATTTTGTGAAAAAGAAATGTGGAAAACAGTTTGGCAAGAAACACTCAAATTTCATTAATACAAATTTCAAATAAGTTTCTTTGATTTAATTGTAAACAAGGTGATTTTTCCACAAATTATTGGGTTAATAAGAATTCAGTTAACATTTTATAGATGTTATAGATGACAAATATATGGAATTATAACTTCACTGTAGCTTAACATTTTGTATCTAAATATATTTCTTTGTCTTCTTTTCATGAAATATGTCACGTTATTTCAGGTTCCCTGATAATTCCAGGACTGGAAGGAATCAGGCCACAGTTGTCCTGTTTTGCTATTGTACTCTGAACTAAGCTTTTTAAAGAAACCAGGCATGGATATCTTTATTTCTCTTATCTTCAGGATAAAATTGGATGCCATAGTCAGTGCCAATTCACCTTTCAGGTCTTTAATCGCTAGTTGGAAATCCATCCACTAACCTCTCCATCAAAAATCCTTAAGAGAGATTTCAGGAGCAATGAAGGGAGAGGCCTAGTTTATGAATATACCAGTGCTCCGGAAGCAGAAACGCATTCTATTTCAAATTATAGTTAGACTAGCACATCTCTGTTGTATAGTAATCATAATAACTCACTATTTTGATTATTTTCTAATGTAGTTGGACTAAAGTAATGAGGCATAGAGTTGTATTTGTTTTGTTTTATTTGGGATTCCACATCTCTAATGCTGTTGTAATGTCAAGCTAATTTCACTGCTTTGCATTTATTTTTATAGAGTATTGAGATTATTTTATTCCAGTTGGGCAGATGAGCTACCACAGAGAGGAGATTCTCAACCACTGCAGCAAGGCATGATGAGTTAGAGCCTTGGAGGTATTGATGCTCTCTGTCCTCATGGTGGCCTGATAGGGCCTGGGAGAAATGGGATTCCCGTGCCTATCAACAGCCAGAATAAGCCTCAACTATTTATTCCAGCTGGCCCACAAATATTACTTTTAAGCACCGTATTATGAGAAAAGCCAGACAGCAGCTCTACAGAGGGCAGAAAAGGTTTGCCTCACTTTGTGCAGTGAATACAGATCTGCATCCATTGGCTAGTTATCCCTCAAAGATGAAATAGATAGTTGCTATTTGAAAGCTATACCCTTAGACTTGAGAATATTCAAATTTGTGAATATCATTATAGCACACAATTTTCCTTAATATAATACAATCAAATACAACTGAAAAATTAAGCAATCACTTAATGAGTCAATAAATAAAGAGCTATGCCACAACTAGAAGGACCTGGAACTAATGATATACAACCATGTATCGGGGGGATTTGGGGAGATAAAGCAGAAAAATAAATAAATAAATAAATAAAGAGCTAAAGCTGGTTATAAAACTATTGAAATTGATTCTGGCTGAAACATCCAATAAACCAGTATCCTAAATCTCTCTTTCCTCCTCACTCTCTCAATTCTATATAGCGCTAATCCAAGTCAGGCCCGAATTGAACATTTCACTCTTTAATTTATCCAAGGCCTTTCTCTTTTCTGCCTAATAACCTGATATCATTTTCTCAAGCTTATTTTTTCATTCCTGTTGCCAGAATTAGCAGGTGACTTTCTTTCGTATACCTCTTGTTCGTGTAGAAACAGTTTTTGCCACTGCACAAGTTATGGCACATGTGATGGTTACTAGAAGCTGTGCTGACATGTAGACGGCGGGGAGTCGACAAGGCTCTGTGCTCATTAACGTGACTGATTTCTGCACATCATTCTGGAGAGGCGAAATTCAAAACTATGCCTCAGCAAACTAAATGTGTCATTGTTCTCCAGATATGCTGAAATAAAACACGCAAATGTGAAATCTTCCAGTGTAAATCATCTACCGCACTGAATTTTCTCTAAGGGTTACGCTTTTCTTTACCTACATGTGAAAGTGGAAATGCTATCTTTTGATTGCCTGGAGATTCAGCTGTTGAAGCTATGGGAAAAGTCTATGTTTATAAAGAGAATTTTAAAATTGTTCTTTTATTATATATGCTACTGAGTTTACTAATGAGGTAATCGAATAAAGTGTCCTCCAGGGGTGAAATAAAAGAACATTCCATATGCCAATCTATTTATCTCCTTGGCCCACCTCTGATCACACTCTACCCGTTTCTGTCTGCGAACTTGGTTTGTGTGCAGGTCAGATTACCTCCTATTTTGTTATACCTTTGCCCTGGCAGGAGGCAGTGCCTGAGGCAATAATTGGGCTGTTATTAGCCACCTTCCTTTGAACACCACCCCTTCAGCCACAATACAAATGGCAGTTTTTAACTGATCATGTTGTTCATAGAAGAAAATGCATCTACATGAGTTGCAATCACTAAGGAAGGTGTACCTCTTTCTTTCATACATATGAATAAAAAATGGCCAAAGCGTTTCACTTATTGATTACTTGATTCATTTTTTAAAAGTCACCAAACAAAAAAAAAAAAATAAGGTTCATCCATAAGCAGTGGATCTTAAATAACAAGCTGTGCTTAAATCAGACGTTAAGAATTTGGAAATGTTCCCGTTAGTTTATGATTTCAGGACGCCTTCATCTTCTGATTGATGTTCAATTGTCGATAGCTCCTCATGTCTAACTTTACGGATTCTCTCTCCCACTAAGCTAAAGTAGTTAATGATTTATGAAACATTTGTGCGCCTAAAATCCACCAAAGCCTTGTAAAAAAAATATTTCTAGCCTTTAAAATAAACCTGTTTGATAAATGTAGATTTCATTTTCAGTTATTTTCAATAAGCAAGGCACAGCAGCATTTGTGTTCAAAGGGAGAGTCCTCTACACCTACCAATAATTCCTACTAGTCATGATGTAGGCAGTGAATTAGGAATTTTCAAGCATTAGTGATCAGCTCTTTAATAATCCTCTCAGGTAGGTATTTCCTTCCTCATTTACCAGAGGAGCTGAGGATTTAATATAGCCCTAGGTGATTCAATCTCAGAACGTAGAGCAGGAATTTGAATCTAGATATATTTGGATGCAAAGCCTATGTCCTTTATTTTCACACCATGTTTGCACAATTGCCCATTTTAAGTCATTTTTAGAGTCAAAAAAATTGTATCTTCTAGAGGATCACATGTCTCCTTTAGGATAATTTCCAAAAACAAAACAACTTGATCCTCCTTTTTCTGCCCCGGAGTGCATCATAAACCTAATTAAAGTTTTCTTGGCCCCAAACAAGATCATTGATTCTTACAGCCTAAATGGGTTTGATTTGTTTCTCCCTTCATCTCAGGGTCGTATTGCCTGGGCATCCTTGCCCCTGTGCAATGAGAGCAAGAGGGGACTAGTCTCTCACATCGCTCACTGAAATAAGTCATGTCAAGTAACCCAGGCAGTATCTTCCAGGCAGTGATCCCCAAACCTGGTACTATTCACTCGAAAAAATGTTTGTGAATAAACAGTGTTGGAGCAAGAGAAAGGGAACTTATCTAGTCTGGTACTTTCCTCCTCTTCCTCTTCCATTCCTTCCTTAATTTTGGACACATAGCACTTAATAAGCATCTGCTTTGTCACTGCTACGCGCTATGGATGATAAGTAAAATACAAGGCAGAATAATTAAACTTCAAAACTGGTTTAGAGCAAGGTCAACGCCAGCCAGAATAAGTTTTCTCAGTTCCTTCACCCTGTCTGTATTAGTTTGCTACGGCTGCCATAAGAAAAACTGCAGACTGGGTAGTTTATACAACAGAAATTTATTTTCTCACAGTTCTGGAGGCTAGAAGTCCAGGATCAAGGCATTAGCAGGGTAATCAGTTTCTCCTTGACTTGCAAATGGCCATCTTCTTGCTGTGTCCTCAGATGTCCTTTTCTCTTTGCAAGCCTTTCCTCGTGTCTCTTCCTCTTATAAGCATGTCAGTTTTCTGGATTAGGGCAACACCCAAAGGACCTCTTAACCTGTATCGCCTCTTTAGAGGCCCCATCTCCAAGCACAATCACACTGAGTGTTAGGGACTCAACATATGAATTTTGGGGGAACACAATTCAGTCCATAACGATCCCCATTACATAAATGGCTATATGCAGTGGCAAGAAGTCAAAGAGAGTCGAAAATCATATATATGGTAATTAGGAGCATGGATGCTGGAGTCAGAGGTTAAAATCCCCAGTCTGCCACTTCCTAATTGTGTTAATATTGTGTCAAATTTCTTAACCTCAGAGCTTCACTCATCATCCTTTAACACACGGACAGTAAGAGGACCTGCCTCCTAGGGTTATTGCCAGTTGAAATAAGAATTGGCTACTAGTAGTAGAGGAATGGTTTTAAAAGATGGTATTACTCCTCTTTCTTCTCTAGATATAACACCATATTGTTGTGAGAATAAAATGCAAGAGAAAAGATGATGGGAGGCTGGCCCGGTGGCACAGTGGTTAAGTTCGCATGTTCTGTTTCAGCAGCCTGGGGTTCGCCAGTTTGCATCCCCTGTGCAGACCTACGCACTGCTTGTCAAGCCATGCTGTGGAATGCGTCCCACATGTAAAGTAGAGGAAGATGGACACAAATGTTAGCTCAGGGCCAGTCTTCGTCAGCAAAAAGAGGAGGATTGGCAGTGGATGTTAGCTCAAGGCTAATCTTTCTCAAAAAAAAAAAAAGAAAGAAACAAGAAAAAGAAAAGATGATGGAAATAAAACACTTTAATTGAGAACCAGTAACACACTAATTTTTCTTAATTGTAATAATTTATTCTATTAATATATAGATTAATATATTATATATTAGAATAATATTAATATTATTAATATTATTCTAATATATATACGGGGAAAATGAGACACATCAAATAGAAGGGGAAAAAGAGGCAATCAATTCACAACGTCATACAGAAAATTGATATTTATCAAGTAGCCAGAAAACACACAGGAGCAGCCTGCTGGATGGGCTTTTCCAAGTGCTGCCCTGATCCTTGAGATGCGGGTTTGGCCTTTTCCTGACCCTGCGCCCTGGCTGGCACTCGGGCCGGCGAGTCCGCCCCGCCCCGCCCCGCCGCGGCGCGCCCCGAGCGAGAGCCAGTGGGAGCTGCGTTCGCCCCGTCGGGCCGGCAGAGCGCTCACGGCCAGCCCCTGGCTCCCGGCGCCCGGTCGGCACGGCGCGGGGTTTGAAGCAGCGCCGCGCACCCGGAGGAGGAGCGCCGTGGGCCCTGCCCTGGTCCTACTGCCGGGTCCCCGACCCGCAGGTCCCAGGTCCCGGCGCGGCGGTCCCCATGAGCGCCAGTGACTTTGGCTTTAGCTAGGTGGGTCGTCACCAGGATGACAGCCTTGCACCAAATCAGAGGGCGGCGCTCGCCGGGAGCCCCGGGCGTCACCCGGAGCTCCCGCGGATTAGAACTCGCCTCTCCTAGCTCCTCCCCTCAGTCCCATTTAAAGCTCCCACGGGCTTTACCGAAAAAATTAAGAGCGGGCTCAGTTTCTGCAGCGCCTTCTTCCACTGCAAGATGGTAAGTGAGGGGCTGGCGTTAGCCCGTCCGCTGGCGAACCCTGGGGGCTCTGAGACCTTTCGTTTAGAATTCTTCCACCCTGGAAGCAAGATTTCTCTGCTACCTGCCAATCAAAACAGGTCTTCTCTGCTGCCCCATCTCCCTTTTCTTCTCTCCTGTCTTCTCCAGGCTTTCTCTTTCTCTCTCTTTCTTATTCTCGATCTTTCTTTCATCCTTTTGTCGTCTCTATTATATCTACATTCTGTACTTTCTCCCAACTTTCTCTTCCTCTTCACCTGTACTCACCTTTTTTTCCATCTCTTCTTCCAGATTATGCGCATATTTGCAAACACTTGACCTTGAACTAGTCTAGGCGTATTTGGGGTTTCTTTTCTTCTCAGGTGTCAATTGCGTAATAGCTCATCTCTGATTCCGATAATAACTTCAGGGAAACTGCCTACAAACATGCTTTTAGAATAAAAGAAAATAGAACTTGATACACTTTTGGCTGAATTTCTTTGGTGTGCACTGCCCAAGCTGGACTTGCTTCCAAACCGGACTTTTTCAAAACTAAGCTTATCGGGACCATTAACAAAGTGTGACTTAATTGACTTAACTTTTCTTTCTCCTCTTCTTGTTTTCTCTCTGTGTATGTTATGCCCAAGAAAGTCCTCAGGTCAACAAAAGACTTGTAATGGTCAATAAAGACTTTGTCCAAAGCTGGACTGTGCTGAAATGATTGACTTTTACCTGATTAAACATTGACAAATAATTAAGAATGGGCTGTTGTACAAATTAACCCAGGAAGGCTGTATACCTGCTCCTGCCTGGACATTTGGAAAAACTGTGTGTTTGAGGTTTGAGGAGTCAAGGGCAGCAGACACTCACTGGCTCAGAACGCAGTGGAGAGTGCGTGCCAGGCAGTTACTGGTGGCAAGATTGCTTCGGAAGGGCAGTGAGAACTACTGATGGAGAGACCTGGAGCTCGCTGTCTCTGCTGACTAACTTATTTTAGCTTTCGTTATATGTTTACTTGGAGTGGCTTATGCTCCTGTGCTTGAAGTTAAGCAAAACTTATTTAGTTATCTCTGGAGTATATGTATAGATATATATAGAGAGAGAGAGAGAGAGAGATATCTCACACCTTTCTGATCACCACAGGATCCGGCAACATTTAAAACCATAGGGAGGAGGGAGGAAGGAATGGGGCAAGTTTATAATTCAGAAACTGAGACTAAAATAAGAAGGTCATGTTCTGTCCATTTCAGCTTTAGCATTCTGGGCTTTGTGCCTTTCAAGGATATTGAAATATAATTAAGATATTTGTTAGAAAGAGCCAAATGGTTCTCATGTCTTCAAATTATTAAATAGAATTCCTTTTACTTTGATCCTGGGTAGCCTGTGAGATGACGCGGACATTGCAGTAGAGAATACTCTTGGATATTTACAAATTTGGTCCATCCAATACTAGCCTATTCTTTGCTGAGAGGGACTAAGGACGGTACTGGGTAAACCAAGGAGCTGATTCCCTTTTAATAATTGTGTGTTGACCACTCAAAATTAATCTGGGATCTATACTAGCACCTTTACTATTTTTGATTCACTGTGTGAAATTTCTGCATCTTTTTCCCACCCTTTCCCCACCTCCAAATTCCCATCACCCCATCTCCTGGGACCTCCCTACCCCTCGTACTGAATTTCACAGAACACGGTTCTGCCTTGCCAAGACCAGTACTTTGTAGGAGGCCAGAACTATAATTGCCCGTATTCCACTACAACGTCAGAATCTAGTGTTGACGTTTCCACGGAGACTCGGGTCTCTTTCTGGGCTGCTGGTCTCCTGGACAACAGAGAGCCCCAACAAGCACCACAGGCACAGGGTAAGTTCTGCTCTTCTGCTTTCCTAGTAGATCTGAAGCCCTTTTCTATCACCCATAGTTGCAAAGCATCATGGGCTGGATCTCTGTCGAAGGAGGGATGACATGGAAAGTATAAGAAAGCCCAAAGACTCTTGCATTTTACAACCTAAATAACCTGCTTTTTCGTACTTGCAAAATAGTGAAAATGGGATTCTTCCTATTGCCTGCTGGACAATATGAGTTTCTCCTTACACTTTACAGTAATGGGAAATTTCCAACTCACTAAGGGAGTTTGAATCAAAGTTTTGTAAACCATTCTAGTGGGATGCTTTTGTAGTCAAGATACCAATTGGAGCATTTCATAGTGGAAATTCTATGAACTGTATCTTATAAGACTAAAAAAAAATCCCTTTTACACAAAGAAAACTTCAACTTTAGAGGGAAGTATAACATTGATGGAAATTAATTTTGACCTGGGGTTTAGTAAACAATACTTATAAATATTAAAGGATTTTTCTGTATTCACTCAAGTTTCTGGAAAAACTCTCAGAATGTCAGAATGGAATGTCTTTATTGTTGGTTCTGCTGCAAGAGTTTTTTGAATTTGAGAAAAGATGCAAACAAACAAAAAGCCCCAAAATATTGAAACACACTTATATGTCAGGAAGAAAGTTATTCAGTTTTAGCTTTCTACCACAGGCAACAGAGAAAACAGAATGCCCAAGAATATGAAACTAAATGGTGTATAAAATTATATTCCTGTCTCCTTACTTATTATTCTACTTTAATCAAAAATATTTCAGTAATATTTCAGTTTAAATAGAAGAAGGCAATAGTCAGAACTTACTAGATGGCGAAAAGAAAGTCAAAGTAAACCAATTTAGCATGCCCAAGCCTTGTTTTTATTGGTAGGTATAGTGTGCTGTCAAATATGAAAAAAAATTTTTTTTGAAAAACATAAAAGACATATAGATAATGACATTTTAAATACATGACTTTGGGTTACAGTTCTGAGATTTTCATCAGTCTTTTAGAAAAGCCAAGTCCAAATTATTTTAAAGTAGAAAGTGCCAGCACATAGAATTCTGAGTAAATACTCTCCATCAGATTTAACTGACAGGCAGACAGAGATTTTCATCTGAGGATAAATGGTAGCATCAAAACTTGGATTTGATTCTAGAGCCAAATACTTTATTATCAAGCACTAAAGCTTAGAAAATAAGATAAAAACTTGAAAAAACTAGTGGAATTGCGTTATTCCTAGTGAGAGGAAGATCAATAAATATTTGAATGAATTAATAATGCAGATAGAACAGTCTTAATAAATTTAGTCAGCAGGAGTACATATATTAGAGAGGAATGTGACCTCTTAACTCCTAAAAATTCCTCTCTGTAACCACTTTGGCGTATAGTCTATAAATATTTGTTTTTCATAGTGTGCTTGCCCGTTCTAACAGCTTTAAATATTTTGTTTTCGTGGGTGGAGACAATAGCTATTTTTAGAAAGGTAATTGAACCTGTTAAACTTTCCAAAATCTTTTGGTGAGTTCTTAATTGCACACAAACTGCATGTGTGTTTTCTCAGTTTCCATTTGGTGTTTTCACATAGAAACATCCAGTGACTCAAATTTCCCTGTTCCTACCTTGTGTTCTTGGGAAGAGGCTCAGCTTTCCTCTCAGCTCTACAGAAACAAGCAGGTATGCATAGATAATCAGAACAATGAGACCAGCCATGTTCCATGCAGTCCATTCTTAATGTCCTTTGAAGTCACATTGCATCTTTTCCCTTGTTAAATTCATGTGTTGACTTTCAGTTTAGAACCAAAGTAGATATCTGTCCACAGAGCAATGAAAGGTGATCACTGGCACAGAAAACAACCACTACCACCACCACTGAAACCCTCTAGGAGGACCTGCAGTCAAGCCATGTCTTTGCACATTTTAGTTGTATGACCTCTTGAAGCCTCCTTTTCCTTGCCTATTGCAGTAGGTGCTGCCTACCTCAGAGGGCTTTTGGAGAGATCAAATGGTATGAGTGTGATGGTATTTTTAAACCATAAACATAGCCAGTCACTTGGAGAAGGAATTATGATTATAAAAGTTTTTGCAAAGATTGCTTCATTTTCCACCTTTTGTTGGCTGTTGTTCCTGAGGGAGTAATTTAATCTAGTAGATACACAACAGATCAATCTGAGGCTGAGAGAAGCCAACCCACCTTTTCCTTTCTTCTTTTTTTGATGTGCAAGGAAAGAGACCAGTCAAACTTTTCTAAGCACCTTTTTCTATATTTAACCAGTTGCCCGCAGCTCATTTTCCTACATACCTCCCCGATTCCATTGTGCTTACAATTTTGAAAGTCATGTAATCTCTTCCAGCACTTTGCAATGAATCTAAAATTCAGAGCACAGAACTGAACAGTCAGATGGTAGGTGGATGTAGGTTGCATTTAGGCATCTGAGGACGAGGGCTCCCTGAGGTTGAATTCATAAAATAAACAGAATGATAATCAAGTTTAAGCAGGTTAAGGATCAGTGGCATTATTGTAAGGTTACAAAGTCAATATAGTGGACCAGCCTTCACCATTGTCTGCTTTTTGCAGCTCCAGGATACTCTGGTGCAGAAGGAAGAAGAACTTGCTAGGTTACATGAAGAGAACAACCATCTCAGACAATACCTGAATTCTGCTTTAGTTAAATGTCTTGAGGAAAAGGCCAAGGTATGTAACTATCCCCTTGATAAGGACAGAACAGTGACGTGAGAAAGGAGACCATTTGGGTAAAACTCCTTGGTTAAATGTAAGAAGTGTACTAAGCAATTGTGCCTTGAAATGCATTTATTGGAAGGATGGATTTTTATGAAGGAAATAAAGCAGTTTTGCAAGAATCTTTATGTATCATTTCTCTGAAGTATCTAGATGGCAGATTTTAGCCATATATTACAAAAGGAGTTGTTTAAGAATCAAAAGCCAGGGGCTGGCCCCGTGGCCGTGTGGTTAAGTTTGTGTACTCAGCTGCAGGCGGCCCAGTGTTTTGTTGGTTCGAATCCTGGGCGCGGACATGGCACTGCTCATCAAACCATGCTGAGGCAGCGTCCCACATGCCACAACTAGAAGGACCCACAACAAAGAATATACAACTATGTACTGGGGGGCTTTGGGGAGAAAAAGGAAAAAAATAAAATCTTTAAAAAAGAAAAAAAGGAATCAAAAGCCAGTCAACGGAATTGCTGAGACAACAGAGGTTAATCTAAAAGACAGAGTTAGATGGATGGAACACTGGAGCAGGAATCAGAGCTGAGAGACATCGGTTCTTTTAATTATCTGTTGACTTGAGGTAAATCAGTCTCTCACTTAGGGCCTCTGTTACCTACATTTGTAAATGAATGGGCTAAAAGATCTTTTAAGACTCTTCGCAGCTCTAAAATGTTATGAGTATGGCTGGAGCCGAGATCTCTTGACTAGCAATTAGATATAGCCAATTGGATTATCTTTTAATGAATGTTTTTTCTTACACTTTTAAAACGAACTGTTTCTAACTCAAGGATGAATAGCTTGCCCATAGTCCCCTTTCGTTGTTCTTTCTTTCTTTGGGTTTTGTCTTTTTTATTATCTATTTTCCATTCTGTTATTATTGCTTCTACCATCAGTCTTGATCTTACTTCTAGACAAGCTACCTTATTTGATATTATTTCATCTATATTGATGATGCTTCTTACTACTCTTATTGGGCATAGCCTTTCAGAGAAGAAAGGACACTATATTTAATTCCTTCACAATTCAGTTAGCTGTGTTAAAAAAGGGAGCACATCTCAGAGTTATTGTCCTGAGCTCCTAACTCCACCCACCATTCTGTTAAAAAAGAACAGTTACTAAATTAGTATGGTATAAATTAGACAGATTTTTCTCTCATCCTCAATTTTGAGATATTTAGCATAATATAACAAATCCCACGGGAGTGCTATGAAAGTTAATGAAATAAGAGGAAGCAGTGTCACACAGTGTTTCAGTCAGTGGTTCTGTCTAGATTTAGATGGCTTAGGTTTAAATCTAGGCTGCGTGACCCTTAGCAAGTCACTAATGTGCCTATGTCTCAGTTTCCTCATTAAAGGAGATTTTGATAGTGCCTATATAAAATGAGATCATGCATGTAACCAATGTTCAAAACAGGATAGTTGCTATTATTGTCATCATCATGATACTCATTACTTCCCTGAATTGAAATTTGTAAAGACATCATTTACTCCTTTCAACTTTTAAATGACTAATAAAAAAATATGAATTGGAGTTTCTAGGTGGTAACTTGTCCCATAGATTTTAATTTTGAAACAGAAGCTACTTCAATCAGTTATACTTGCGTGTGTGCAAAAATAAAAATTTAATCAAATTTTCTAAGGAATTAAGATGACTAGCAAATATTTGAAGGTGGTGTAATTAGGCAACAGTAAAGAAAATGATCTTAGTTGATTATCTAACTGTATATTTTCAAATATTCCTTCCCCAGAAATTGCTGTCATCAGATGAGTTCTCCAAAGCATGGGGAAAGTTCAGAAAGGGGAAGAGGAAACCCAAAGAGCAAAGATATTTTCCTCCTGAGATCCCCCATCACAAAAATGCCAAGAGAAACCTCTCTAGTGAATTTGCTAACTGTGAAGAACAACCTGGGCCCCCTGTGGATCCCTGGGTCCTTCAAACACTTGGGTTAAAAGACCTCAACACCATTGATGACACCTTATCAGCTAACTACAGTGCCCTCTCCTCTCATCCCACAAGAATCATCAGCACGTTTCCCCAGTTCCCAGATGATGCAGTTGATTATGAAAATGCTCCCCAGGAGGATCTGCCAATTGACTACGGAGGTGACAGACCAGCCCCGTCGCACAGCACTGCCAGCCACAGGGAAGATTTTCCCTTCCTTTCTCAACTTTCAAATCCACCAGGAGGGCTGGAAACTCTTCCTTACTATGCTTCTGATGTGTCACCCAATAAGACGGAGATGGCCTTTTCCACATCCCTGAGTCCTCACTGTAATGTGAAAACTCATTCCTTCCACCAGGGTCAAGCCTTTGTTCGTCGCGATGAAGACGGAGGCTGGAAGTTTACCTGGGTCCCTAAACAGTCTCAGTGACCCCTCTTCTATCACAAAGGACTGCCGCGAACTCTGTTTACAAAGACCTCTCTTGCACTTGAACCTGACTATGTGGAATACGGAAGCTATTGCCCAGACTGTTTCCTGCCACTTTAAGTGTCACTCTCAATTACCCACTTAAATCTGCAGAGAATAGGTTCCAAGAATCCATAATGAAACATGCCTGCTCTTCTTTCACCTAAATTTGACTTGTTTACGCAGCAACACCTGCTGTTGACTTCCTCCCTTTGCCCTATACTTGAAAAGGTATTTTCCGATTGCCTGAATAGTCCTTTGAGACCTACCTATGCTGTCCTAACTATAATGGGTCTGACAGCTTTTCCTCTTTCATCAAGTGGTCTAAGTGTTCGCAGAGTTCACCCTTCCACCTGTCTCCCTCTCCTGCTCCTCTTCATTTCTGAAAACTGCCTTTAGAATGAGTGCTATTATTGCTCCAACTGCCTGTTATTGAGTGTTCAAATAGCTGAGGATGGGGTAGAAACAAGTGTCTTTGCCCATCACCATTTGAAGACATAATGAGAGTAATGTCCTGTGTAGATGTGAGTAATGTTATGTGTAGGGCATTTCAGTAAGTTGAGTGTCCCGCAGTAGAGTTGACAACGAGTCTCTTCTAACAGCTATGACTCTACTGATAAGCAATACCACTCATAAAAGATGAAAGAGAATTAAAATTACTTCAAAACAGCCCGTGGTAGATCAGCTTCCATAGGCATCTGACATTGTGTCTTTAACCAACATGGCTCAAGCAAGAACATTTTGAGGGACTTGTGGTAAGAGAACGAGTCATCACCCTAAACTACTCAGATGCTGACAAACTTCTATTCTGTGAAAGTATAGTCCAGCCTAGCCTGGCACTGTCTCACTCATTCATGTATTCACTTTTTCATTCATCAACCCACCCTAAATTTCTGTAGAACACCTACTAGACCAGGCACTGTGCTGTGGGATGGTGATAAAATGTCACCAAGTTAGACACTGTAGCCACCCCATGAAACTTAGAGCCGCTCATTTACTGTGACCTTGAGAAAGCTAGTTCCCTGGCGTGAAGATTCAGTTTTCCTAGCTGGAGAATACAGAAGTTGGACTAAATAATTACTAGCATTCTCTGAATTGAGGCTGGTTGCCATCAGCTTTACTCAAACACTGCCATCCCAGGTCACTGTTGTCTTCAGTTCTGATAGGCACTGCAGATATGTTGGGTAAACTTTATAAACAATTGAAAACAAATGTGAACCATTTGTAATTAACACTAGAAATCGTTGCTCTGATCACAGTATTCTTTTCCTGGTAGGAGCCTGTTTTACAGGTGAATTCAGTCAGTCAAGCTGTGTGAGAATAACTTGCATCTAAAAAATAGAGACATTAATTTTTAAATAAATGTGCATAGATTTAATGCAAATGTTGACATCAAAGATTTCTCTCTTTCTAAATAAAAATAATGTATTCTTAGTGCTCATGCTAGTTCTCCTTTCCAATCCCCCAAGCTCCCTATCCTTCCCAGAATAATTTACACATCAAAGATGTGCTCCTATGTTTTTTTGGACCAAACTTCAGTTAATGATAAAATCCACCATGTTGAATGTCTTTCCCATTTTTGTCTTTTCCACATCTCAATAAGCCACCTTGTGCAGTCATTGCCTGAGAGCGGAAGGGTGCTGTTTGACATTCTTTGTAATGAAGACGTGATTTGTTGCTATTGCTGTTTGGTTTTTGCTTTATTTTGGTGATGTGAGCAAATAATATATTTTATAAACTTTTGTTACCACCCAGTTTTCTTTATAATCTGTGAAGAAGAATGCAAGATATTAATTCATATTATCCTCTGGAGTATTTTCATGACTTAGGAAGAGAGAGAACACATTCTATGTTCTAAAAAAACCAAAAAAAATGCCTAGTACATTCTAGTACGTGTGCTCCTGGTGTGGGTGAAATTTATCTCTTTTTAAAATAGCAACTTTAATAATTAGAATTGGCTTTGTTTTAATACATTAGAAATCAAGAAAGCAACATAACTGTTTTGAAAGTCTAAATGATGAAACTGTAAAACGAAATTGATCAGTCAACAAATATTTGTTTTGCATTTTTTATGCACCTTATCATGTGTTATGTACCATGAGGAAGTACCCAGGCTTAGCACGGTGCGTTTGGTACATAAAACAAAGCCACAAAAAATGTAATAACTTTTAAACGAAACTTGGTCTCAGCCTGGTTTTAAGAAATTATAGCACATTTGTGGTAAATTATGATAACTTGCTCTGGTTATATGGAAGAAAATAACCACATCTTTTCACAATCATATCTACAGACATTTGATATTCATTTGAATTATATATAGAAAATTATTTTGTTAATGTTTAAAAAGTTACAAATTTCTCTCACCTGAGTATATGTGCTAACTTTTGGGGTATTACCATACCCCTCCAGTAAAACACAGTTAATATTTTACTAATATAAAGTGAGAAATAAAAATTAAATACTTTTGTGATTGTGATGAATATTGTTATATTGTGCATAACGTTTTCTAATAATGGATTTTCTTCTCCTAGGTTTTAACCATAATCCTGTTGATTTGCACCTCTTTTGTATGATGCGTGTGGCCAGACTACTCTCTTCAGCATTTAGGGTTTAATGGTTCTTTCTCTTATCCAGGATACATTAATGAGGCTTTTAGATGTTAAGTGGCCTAAAGGGTCAAATGCCTTGTGCGTACAGCACTCTCTTACCTAACCTCCCATAAAAATTAGAATCTAGTATCAATTTTTAAAATTTGATGACATTTCCAATGTCCTCTGATCATCTGAAAATAAATCAAACTTGTATCTCACCAGTATGTGAAAAATTACACCAATTGGAAAACCTCACTTAGGCAGGTGGCATTTAACGCATGGGATTATTTAAGTCTGCAGTGATACTAAACTATAATTTTAAAACATTTGAAGAAAAGAAAGCAGTGAGCCAACAAAAAGAATTTCTCTATTTGATCTATTTCAAGAAGACAGAAATTTTCTTTTAAAGTATGACAAATCAGTTCAACAACCGACCCACATGATAGGAGCAGAGGAAAGTGTGGAGTTAATACATCCAGTCACAACATTTGATAAGTTTACTTCTGTAAAGTTGAGATACACAATTTTACATTTGTTTCAGTTACCAAAAGATTTGCATAAGGTAAATATTAAATACACCATTTTTCTTTATTTTTCACTAAACCAAATGAAATTGGTTTACAAGCTACAATTATATGGTATATTTCTTAACGTATTTCTCATATTATTATCTACATTTTTATTACACGAACATAACCAGATATCCAGTTATAATTCTTACATTGGCTATTCTATAAATGTAAAATGTAATTTAATGCTTAATATTTTAAATGATTAGTATTTGTTTATGATTTAAACTATTTCTAATAATATGGAAGAGTCAATTTTGTAATGAATTTATGTCTAGTAAATAAATAAATAAATGACAAAACCTTATTTAATCCTACTTTTGGCCCTTATTTTAGAAAGGCTTTTCAGTGAATGGAGCAACAGACTAAGAAAAAGTCTTCTTTACTCATTTCTGCCATAAATTTTACGTCATAAAAAATGCATATTTTAATTGCCAACTAGTGGTATGATTAATAACTGAGGCACTTATTCAACAGATATAGTCTGTGTTAGGCTCTGCAGAAGATATAAAGATGAAATATGTGCTCAAGCTAACTTTAAATGAGAGAAACATAACTGGAACATGTTTAATCAAAGCAAGGAAATAATTAACTCTCATAATTGAAAAGTTTGTGCTTCAGATATGGGTGGATCTAGGTGCTAAGGCAATTTTGTCAGGAGTCTGGTTTGGGATCTAAAGGAAGGCTGATGACTAGGAATGGATTCTGAATGGTGTTGATAGTACTCATCACACGAAAGCATGACAGAAACCAGGATGGGATAAGCAATGTGAACCTGAAGAGCAGCAAGCTATACCCCATAAGCTCTTCTCTAGTTTTGTGACATTCTCCTTGTCCTTCGTATTATAATCCCATAAAAATGAATAAAGCCTCAGTTAATGTTCCAGGCTGGTCTCAGTTACACCATAAGGAATTATAAAAATATCAGCATGTCTACGTATGAAAATTGTGAGAAGATATTCCCTGAGGCCCTTGTTTAGGCCACATATCCCTCAGGGGAAGATTAATATTAAGAGAAATTATTCAAAACTTGCATATCAGACCAGTAACTCATGACTACATGAAGATTTTCCTGTTATCAGTCATGGATAACCTGGATTTCATTTAGTTTCTTTACAGAGATATTCGGGTTTTTTTTCTTGGACAAAACTACACCTAAACCTCACTCACTCTAAATGACCCTTGAATATGGATGTCATCAGGACAGGTTATTGGAAACCTCTTACAGCATGAGGTAGGCAACTTGATTCCCATTTCATAGATGAGAAAACTGCCTCTGAGAGTTCAATGGGTCATATTATAATAAGTGTCTGGGGCCCAAGGTAAACCCTGGCACTGACTTTAGATCCGGTTCTCTCTCCAATATGTCACATAATTTGGGACCAATATTTGTGCTTACAGTCTGCAGTCTATTACAAGCTGTATGGGCTTGAGAGCCAGAGGTCTAGAAGTAAGGAGGAGTCTTAAATCTTTGTTTATAGTCATCAGAGTTTTAGTCTGAAGTCTAAGCCTCTCTTAACTCCATCATTACTGAAAGGAATTATTCACAAGAGACCTAATTCATCCTCTATCATTTCAGAAAGAAAGAAGTGTATAAATCGAAGACTACTGCAGAAATTTGGGACACAGAGAGTAGGACAGAATAGGTAAACTATTCATGGCCAAAAGTATTAATATGCTTCTTAAATGAAAAAGTCAGAAAAATTAAAAGGGAAATAAATCTCTGTTCCAATTTCTATACTGCTGCTAATACAAAGGCCTAACATAGCAGTTTATGTACAATGCTCATGAAGTCTCTCTCTTCCTCCCTTCGTATGGGACATAGATTTTTCACCTGTTCAAGTAAGCCATTATTCCCTTTCCTGACAATCCTTTTAAGTATAACTCTAAGAGAAAGTAAAATAGTTGAAAAAGCATATTTACAATGGTGAGCCTACTCCTTCTAACACATGGACAGCATGATATCTTCTCACTTTGGAAATCGGCAGTTAAATGACACATTTTCAGGGACATAGCAGATGGCTTTTTTTCTCATCTCTTTTCCACGTTTATAATCTGAAATAATAAGTCTTAGAAAGGGGGTTTCAAGGTAATTTCTCATTTCAAGAGAGTACTTAGTATCCAACGGCTGGTACCCCCGGGATAAGGCCCAGGATCTCAGATCCATCACTAGGAGCTTTCTAAAGGTGATGTTCCCTCAGGGCCCTCCAGTTTCTCTGAAGCTGAGAGCAGGGGAAGCCCTTTAACGAGCATGCAGTGAGAAGTCAGAAACCCTCATTACAATCAGGCAAAAGGTCAAAACACACCTTCCTTTCATTTTGGTCTCCTGAGGTGTGCCTCCTCACAACAGCCTCAGAGTCCTCCTTCTTCCATCCCTGGCCCACAGGGAAGTCATTGTGGGTGGAACCTGGAAGTGGCATCTGCACAGTGCAGTCCATGGGCCCCTCCCTCAGTAGAGCTGCGGGTGCACCCAGGAATCCCAGCCTCCTTTGGGAATAGAGCATCATGTTGCCAGACACTTAGCTTTTCCTTCTCTTGCTTTAAAGGACCATGAGTAGTCCACTTAGCCCATCCTATTACCCTTACTCACAATTTCTACAATAGTTTTAATTAATAGGCTGCTTTCTTTTCAAGTGATAGAGGATGAATTTGGTTTCTTATGAATCATCCTGTTAGCAACAAGGGGAGAAAAAATGCTAGAGATGCAGAATAGACCTCTGATGAATGTAAATAAATCCTTCCAATGACCTTGGAATGGGCTTCTGGAAGATTGTTTAATGTCTATGGTAATGATTAGGATTTATTATTGTAAGTAGATCAGCGTACAGACAGAGGTTCAGAGTCCCCTTCCCTAGGGCGCAGTGACGTTATGGAAAAGGGAAGGACGCTAGTGCAAAAAGTGGGTTCCTTAACTCACAGCTGTGTGACCTCGGGAATTAATTTAACCTTTCTCAGCCTCAGTGTACTCACCTATAAAATGAAGATAATGTCTGCCCCATCTATTTCATAAGTTTGTGAGATAATCTCATAATT